GGGGGTCGTGCGCCGCCCGATCGCGTTTTCCTTCCTCGGCCGGCCGCGCCCAGTCACCCTCGCGACTGTGCGGTCCCTGGCGTGGCGGGCTGCGAGAGCGAGACGTTGCCAGTCGGGGCCGCGCGTCGAGGACAGGCTCATGATGGCGAGGATTTCGGTCGAGATCGGGCGGCGTGCAGCGCGGATGGTGCGGGCTTGGGCCCCCCGCGCCTGAGCTGTCGCGCAGGCGGCGCGCTGTTTAGCCTAGGCAGCGCCCATTTCCTTTCCTCCCCGTCATTCCCCCCCCTCCCTCGCCCCTCGTATCCTGTGTTGTGCCGGATCAATCGAAGTAGCTGGGCGGGCCCAGCGGCAGGGCCAGTCAGCGGTCATATAGCGCTGTTTGTCTGCGGCCGCGGGCCGTGCGCGTTTCAGGCCGAGCATTTTTTTTCGTCAGCTGGCTGTCCTCCCCTCGCCTCCTCTCCTCCATCCTCTCCTTTGTCGCTCCGATCTGTTTGTTTCGCGAGCCCCCGCCGGCGCCCGCTCAGAAACCCTGCCCATGAAAGCTGGTGGGAAAGGAACGAAGAGGCACATATAGTGAAACAGGGCGTGCAAGGAGAAGAGAGGAAGGAGGGTGTTGAGCCATCTTGGAGGCTGTCTTGGAGCATCGGATGCCTTCCTGGAGCCACGGGGTTGTTGGGGTATCTTGAGGTCCTCTTGGAGCTGTTTTGGGGCATTTTTGGGCTTTCTTGGGGCCTTTTGGGGTTGGGGGGTCTTGGGGTCCTCTTGGGGATCTTCTGGGGCGCCTTGGGGTCCTCGCGGGTCTCTCTTGGGCTCTCTTGGGACCCTCTTGGGAGCTATGGGCCGCCTCCTGGGGCCATGTTGGGGGCCATCGATCAAAGGCGGGTCGTCGATTTGCCTCCCCCCTCGGGGGCCGTCGAAAGAGGCTCTCGGGGCGCTCCCGGGGCACTCGTCGGGCGATCTTGGGTGCTCTTGGGGCAGTCTTGGGGGCCTTTTGGGCCCGTGTTGGTTCTTTCTTGGGCCGACGTAAGCCCGTGTTGAGGCTTCGAAAACGCGTCGGAAGCGAAAGGCGAGAAGGCATCAATCAGTGATTTCCCAACATTTCTTGAAGGATTGGGGCTTCTCGGGGGCGTCCTGAGGGGTCGCCTGGAACCGTCTTGCGGCCCTCTTGGGGCCTCTTGGAGGCATGATGTTAGCAATCTTGCGCCATTCTGGGTTATCGCGAGCGATATTGGAGGCTATCTTGGGCTCTCTGAGGCTCTCGTGCGAATGCATGGCCAGCGCGCGCAGCCGTGTGATATCCCCGAGATGGCGCCGGTACAAGACGGCCCCGGCCTCAGGCTATAGCTGGACGTGTCCGTGGGCAGTCGCATGGGCGCCTCAAAGTAGCCGGGCGAAGAGGTCAGACTTATGCAATTGTGAATTATGCGGTTGTGAGTATCGGTGGGCTCCCAATATGGCCACGAAGCGTGTGAGGAATGTACCGAATTGGGCGCGGTGAGCGCATTCGAACGCAGTCATAGGTGTCTTCGGTAGAGTTCCCTATGGGGCCGCGGAGTGTGGGAGGGATATGTTGGAAAGAGCGGGGCGGATGCACGCGACCGCCGCCATCGGGGCCTTCGGCGGAGCCCCCTATGGGGCCACCAAGCGTTGAAGGGCTGCGCCGACATGGGCAGGGCGGACGCATGCGGACACCGCCAGTGGAGCCTTCGGTGGAGCTCACTATGGGGCCACGAAGCGTGTGAGTGGTGAACCGACATTGGGTTGGGCGGCTGCGTGCGAACACCGACATTGGGGCTTTTGGTGGGCTTCCCATATGGGCCCACGAAGCGTGTGCGGGGTGTGCCGAAATCGTTGCGGCGGGCGCGTGCGAACGCAGCCAGTGGGGCGTTCGGTGGAGATGCCTATGTGGCCACGAAGCGTGTGCGGGGTGTGCCGAAATTAGGCGGCGTGCGCATGCAAACGCAGCCATTGGGGCTTATGGTGGAGCTCCCTATGGGGCCACGAAGCGTGTGAGGGATTTGCCGACATGGGTGCGGCGGGCGCGTGCGAACGCAGCCGCCGGGCCTCCAGTAGAGCTCATTATGGAACCACGAAGCGTGTGAGGAATCTGGTGGAACGGGTGCGGGGGGCGCATGCGAACGCAACCGCTGGGCCTTCGGTGGAGCTCGTTATGGGACCACGAAGCGTGTGAGGAGTGTGCCGAAACGGGTGCGGCGGGCGCGTGCGAACGCAGCCAGTGGGGCGTTCGGTGGAGCTGCCTGCGGGGCCACGTAGCGTGTGCGGGGTGTGCCGAAATGTGCGCGGCGTGCACATGCAAACGCAGCCCGTGGCGCCTTCGGTGGGGCTCCCCACTGGACAACGAACCGTGTCCCGAAATGGGTGCGGCGGGCGCGTGCGAACGCAGCCATTTGGGCCTTGGGTGGGGTTCTTCTGGGGTCGCGAGGCGTGTGAGGGAGTGCCGGAATTGGCGTGGCGGGCGTATGCGAACGCGGCCCCGAGGAGGGAAAACGGGGTGAGGAAAGGAAAACGATGCGGGCGATGTTGCTTCAAAGCGAGGACCCAACACCACAGGATGGTTGGGGCAAAACTTACATTGATTGCACGCCATGGATAGCGCGACGTGAATTGTACCGCGTAGCTTGCGCCGCGCGGATTGCACTGCCTAGATTGCACCACGTGGATTGCACAAAGTCGGTTGCACCACGTAGAGCGCACCACCACATATTGCACCATATAAATGGTACAACACATATTACACCGCATATATTGCACCGTGTAATTTGCATCACATAGCGTGTACAACATAGGTTTGAACCACGTGGATCGCGCCACATATATTGCACTGCACAACATATATTGCACCACGTAGAGTGCACAACCTAGATTGCACCACATAAAGCGCACCACATAGGTTGCACAACATGGATTGTACCGCATATATTGCACACTTTCGCCTGTCCTGGCTTTGGGTTGGGTCGGGCACGGGCTTGCGGAGCTGACGGAGTCGAGCGCGGGGGGGGGGGGAACTTGACCCTCGGCGTGGCCATTTTTGGTCAAGCGCGCGACGCGTGCCCCCCGGGAGGGGGGCGGTCCTACCTGTGGAATTTCGTTCTCCCACCCTCCACCCATCTTAAAGGGGAACCGGCAGATAAACCGCGTTCGGTGCTCGGGGACGCCTCGGTCCCCAAGGCGCCCTGGTGCCTTGCCGTGGCCGCCGTGCGCGGCGGCTGGTTATGGGCTGCTGCGCGCCCCGCTTGCGCGGGCGCGGCTGGGCCCGTAACCGCCCCGTGCTTGGTGGGTTTCGGGGGTGGGGCGCCAGGGGTCGCGGGCGCGGGTGCCTCCTGGCGGGAGGGGGGGGGCAGGTGGGCGCCCGCGGTCCCCCTTTCCCTCGGTGCGGGGGGCAAGGAGGGGGGTCGGACGGACGGGGTGCGGGGTGGGTGGGAGGGCTGCGTGACAAGGCGAGCGCGCTCGCGGAGATGGCTCGGGGGGCGCGCCTCGTGGGGGGTTCCCCTTCCACCCTCTCGCGGTCGTGCTCTGTCGGCGTGGATTGTACAACGTCGATTGCCCTGCGTAGCTTGCACCGCATGCTGCGCGGCGTTGATTGCACCACGTGGATTGCACAACGCAGGTTGTACCACAAAGAGCGCACCACATAGAGTGCACCACGTAGATTGCACAAAATAGATTGCACCACGTAGGTTGCACCACTTAGACTGCGCAGCGAAGCTTGCGCAACATATATTGAACCGCGTAAATTGCACCGCGTGGATTGCACAACGTATACCGTACCACGTAGAGTGCAGAACATGCATTGCACCACATTGGGTGCACGACAGGAATGCACCACATAGACCGCTCAACATTTATTGCTAGAAGCTTACTGTTTTGGGTCCACGCTGGCTAACATGTGCAAGCCCCAGTTTTTTTGTTTGTTTGTTTGTTTTTTTTGTTTTGTCCCCCGTGGGGCCTTGTTGGGGATCCAGTTGGCCTTTTCAGGGGGCGTTTTGGAAGTCTCGTGGGTGGTGTAGACGTGAGGCAGGGGCCATATGGATCCACGTGGAGGGCACTTGGTGCCGTCCAAGAGTGTCTGCGGCTGTCGGAGACGTGACGGAGCATCTGCTGGAGCGGATCACCCCTCCGGCAGCATTTAGAATTTCGACCCCTCCGAAGACACCCCGTCCAAACCGACCGGACCAGGCTCCCAGGGGAGGGGTTTGGGGAAGGGCCAATTTCTCACACGCCGATGAAACCCCAAGGGGCGCGGATTCCGATATCCCGACGATTTGATGCGGCCCGATGGCCACATGGCACCATTGTGCATCCCAGCGCGGCCAGTCCAATTCGACTTTGACTCCGTGTCGATACAGCCCGATTCGACGCACATGCTGATTCGACCCGATGCCACATTTCGATGTTGATTTACCATGCGCCTGGAGGACCGCCCAGAGGGCCATTGCATGTGACTTCCATCATCGGCCACGCGCAGAGAGTTGGGGGGAGGGGAAGGGCTTTTTGGAAGCACCTCTGCTTCTTAGAAGGCGCGGGCCTGATCTATGGATGTAGGGCCCGCGCCTTCCAATAAGCATCGTCCTTCTCAGAAGCCCCCCCCTCCCTCCACCCCGTTTTTCGCGCTGCCAGCTTGAGAGAAGGCCGTGGCACGTGATCGTTGATCCGCCTGCAGCAAGGATGGCTGTGAGTTTTTTTTGGCCGCTCTGATAGCATGAAACGCTTCTGTTCTCCCATCTCAGGTCTTTGGAGCCTCTGAGGCAATGCTGGGTCATCTCGTCGGCCTCCGTGGCCTTCTGGGCTGTCTTGAAACCCATCTTTGGCATTTGCCAGGTTTTGGGGATCGCCTGGGTGGCGTCGGGGTGCCTGGAAGCTCTCGGCAACAGGGGTAGTGCGTGCAGCGGGGCGCGTCGAGGGTAGTGGATGGGCAGCGTTGGCAGTGAATGTGCCGATCCACTCCGTTGCATGGGGCACGGTGGCGGATGCCCCAACAGCGTGCACGCAGCCGTGGGAGAGGCCACCAAGACAATGAGCATGCTCGGCAACACCACATCGACCACAGGGCAGCAAAGCTTCTCCAACATCCTGGGTGGTGTGGAGTTCGCGAGTGATTTCACGCGCATCATGGGCGGCGTCGAGGGGTTTGAGCATCTGATCACGTTCATCCGCGACTCCCGTAAGCTCAAGGACGAGGTTCTCAGGCTGGGTCAACAGATCTCGAAGGCCAGGTGCTCGATGCTGCAGGTGGCGGAGCTCGCGCGGCTCACCGCCCGGCGCCAGGAGGCGCTGGCCGAGCTCCGCGCGCGCTTCCACGGCGGCATCTCAGCAGAGAGCCGGGGCGGCATCATGGCTTTCCTGACCGTCATTAACGAGGAGATCATCCGCGCCAAAGCTATGTTTCTCGCCTATTCCGACCCGTTTGAGAAGTACCGCGCGTTGCTTTTCGAGTACGCTCACACCCTGGGTCACGGTATCGAGGCAGTAATGAACGGGCTGTACCGCAAGGCAGAGGCATTGAACATCGATTACGAGGACGCCTTCCGCCTGCACGGTCAGTGCGTGGGCATGTCCGTGATCCTCGCGGGTGAGATGTCCCGACGGCTGGGCCACCTGCAGGGAGACGGGTTCGTCGCTCACCAGTCGCTAGTATATTTGTTCAACAGCTTCGGGGGCTACGACTTCAGGCCTCTGCGTCAGCTCTGCGACAAGCTCGGCGTCAGCAAGGAGGAGTTCTGCGAGAGCGTGCTGAAGGTGGTCCGGCGCGATAACAAGCGCGGCTATTGTAAGTGTGCCCCAGGCTGCAGCGTCGACCAGCTCGTGCAGGGCAGGCCAGGCTCCCTCCTGCGCAGCGACGACCCCAACGCCGAGCTCCGCTACCTGGTGGAGGTCAGCGAGGACTCGCAGCGGGACGTGCTCATGGATGCCTTTGAGGGCCACTTCGACAAGGTGCTGGTGGCTGAGGGTCCAGGCTCGGAGGACGCCCACCACACACCTACTCGCCGATCCAGGCCCGAGGATCGGTGCACATGCCCTCAGGAGGGTGCATGCACCGATCCTGGGCCCAGGATGGGCTAGGCCTGGGGCGGTGTATGTGCACAGCTCTCGTCTCCCTACAGTCGAAGAGCATAACAGGGCATAAACATAAGCTTTCGGAGCTCCGCGTTGATTTCTTGGACTTGCGCCCTCGGCGCGCTCCGCGCGCCAGGGAGGGGGGGTCAGCGCCAATCCGAGAAGCCCGCGCGGACTTTCCCACAGTTCATGCCGATGCCGCTTTTTGCTCTGTACAGGCCAGCTGTCGCACGTCCCGCGCGCGCGGGCCTCCGGCCGCGACGCCACCTACGCGGCGGAGGAGCTCCGCGCCCTCCTGCGGGCCCTCGACGGCGACGGCGTGGGCCCGCGCTCCTCGAGCGCGGCCCAGGCCGCCGAGTCTGGCGCCAGCTCTCTCGGAGAGGGCCGTGCGGGCAGGAGCGCGTTCAGGCGCTCGGTATCGCTTCACTGATCCCCATCCCCACCGGCCCATGGCTCCGAGGCGGGAATTTATGCATGACCACCGCCTGGAGGATCAATTTTCGGGGGACCTCGTCGGGCCCCCGGGGGCCAAAATATATCCGACAGAGCGTGTTCTACCGCTGCTGGCGGCAAACGGGGGTGGGTCACTACCTGTTCGAACCCCTCCCCCCCCCCCTCAGGAAAACCGGGGGGGGGTTACTACCGGTTCGAACCCCTCCCCCCCCCCCAGTTCATCATGAAAAGGGGGGGGGTCACTACCGGTTCGAACCCCCCCCCCCCCTCGAACTCGAAAACCGGGGGGGGTCACTACCGGTTCGAACCCCCCCCCTCGAAAACCGAGGGGGGGTGCGGACAGTGGTGGGGACGGTGGTGGTGGGGACAGTGGTGAGGGGACAGCGGGACAGTGGTGGGGACAGTGGGACAGTGGTGGGGACGGTAGTGGTGGGGACAATGGTGAGGACAATGGTGGGAACAGTGGGGACAGTGGGACAGTGGTGGGGACGGTGGTGGTGGGGACAGTGGTGTGGGGACAGTGGGAATGTGGTGGAAACAGTAGGACAGTGGAGGGTACAGTGGTGGTGGGGACAGTGGTGAAGGCGGTGGCGAGGACGGCGGTGGGACAATGGGACAGACAGGGTGGGGACAGTGGGGACAGTGGGACAGCTCAGTGGTTCGAACCGGTAGTGACCCCCCCCTCCGGTTTTCGAGGGGGGGGGGGGTTCGAACCGGTAGTGACCCCCCCCGGTTTTCGAGTTCGAGGGGGGGGGGAGGGGTTAGGGGAGGGGGGGGGTTTGCCGGGGGAAGGGGGGGGGTCCAGCAGGGGGGGGGATTTTCGGAGGCGGGGGGGGGGACCCCCGGGTTCGGAGGAAAAGGGCGGCAATTTTCCACAGTAAAGCGGCGGTGGATCACGCTCTCTCATATATCCACATCCACCGCCCGCTGGGGCACCAGGGCGTCGCTTCCCAGGCGGTGGATATGGATAAATCCCCGCCTCGCAATGGCATTTCTCGGCGACGAGCGAGGGTGGGAAGGGCGCGGGAGAAGGCCTTCTCTGAAGGCGGCGGGGCTTCTCAGAAGCCCTGCTGCCTCCTGAGAAGGTTTCCGTGTCTTCGGGGAAGGCTCAGAGAATTCCTCAGAAGTCCGAGGGGTTTCCGAGCCTTCTGAGAAGGCCCGCCTTTTCACACTTCCCCCTGGGTTCGCCGCCGAATTTTTCGAAAAACACGAACCGGCATAAGCATAAACTCTCGGAGCTCCGCGCGGATTTCTTGGATCGGCGCTGGGCCCCCTTGGCGGCGCCTCCGGCGCCGCCCCTGGCGCGCTCCGCGCGCCAGGGAGGGGGGTCCAGCTCCGATCCAAGAAATTCGCGCGGAGATCCGAGAAATTTTCTTTAAAACGTTTCTGTTCCTTTATCCCCACCAGGCTATGGGTTTCTCAGCCCCAACGTCCCACCACCCCATTTGGGGACATGCCCCTCCCCATCTGGGGGGGGGCAAATCGGCCAATGGGTCCCAGGACACGCCGGTGGGGGTAGGGATCGGTTAAACCATGCTCAGGCACATCTCCAAGAAGGAGTCGAGCGTGACCTTGTCCACCATGGCCCTTGACGGCGGCACTCGAAGAAGCGGAAACGGTACACAGTCAACCCACATAGTAAGGATGGGCAACCTTCCCAAGGGTACCCTCGCATCCTTGCCTCCTCGGCCCATCCTTCGCCGCTTCCGCTGGCCGCGCCCCGCTCGCAAAGCTTCGACGTGGGCGTCCAAGGCCCTTGCATCCTTCTCGCGCATCGTTACTATGCTGGTTGACTGTAGGCATACACTCTCGAAGCTCCGCGTGGGTTTCTCGGACCGCAGCTGGGCCTCCCCCGCGGCGCCGCCGCCGCCCCGGGCGCGCTCCGCGCGCCGAGGGGGGGTGGAGGGCCCAGCGCCGATCCGAGAAGTCGTGTGCGGAGCTCCGGCAGTTTGTGCTTAGGTCGGGCCTGTTCCCTTGCAGTGGGATTTTGGACGAAGAATAGAAAATATTCAAAACATATTCAAAAAATGCTTCAAAATACTCCCAAAATCGTCCCCTGATTATTTTTTGATTATTGCGAAGGCCTAACGGCCGGTGCCGCCGACCCTGAAGACGACGAAGATGAAAACGAACGGGGGGGGGGGGTAGGAGGGCGGAGGAGGAGGAGGAGGAGGAGGAGGAGGAGGAGGAGGAGGAGGAGGAGGAGGAGGAGGAGGAGGAGGAGGAGGAGGAGCAACCAAGTCTGGAGGCCTCGGCTCTCGACGGAAATGGGAGGGATGGCGGGGACAAAACGTCTCCGAAAATCACTGAGTATGGCCTCTCCGCGCCTTCTTAGGAGTCCTTGTAGGGCTCTTTTGACCCGTCTGAGGGCCCCCTTTGGCCGTCCTTAGGCGTTCTTGGGCTGTCTTGTGGGGCTTGGGCCGTCTTGGGGCGCTCTTGCAGATCCGTCGTGGCGACCCCCCCCCCTCCTCCAGCGCATCTACAGAGGGCCCCTTTGTAAAAGCCGCAAACGGGGGATGCGTATCTGGGTGGCGACCCCCCCCCCGGGACCCCCCCCCGGGACCCCCCCCCTGGTGGGAAAGGGATCAAAAGGAAGGGGCTTCCCTTCGACGCATTTACGACGTTGCTCATTTTCGTTTATGTTGGCGCGCTTGAGGATGAGGGGGAGGGCTCAGGGAAAGGGCGGGTAGCGCCACACGCCGACAGGGTCGGCGGATTTTTGAAAAATCCTCCTGTAGAGGGACAGGCCCGACTTAAGTTTATGCTCATGCAGCTCTCTCTTTTTGCAGGCGTGCTGCCGAGCAGTGCGGCGCCTCCCTCGGACCCCGGCGACGGCCATGTCTCGAGCGACTCCACGCAGTCCCTCCAGGACGTGGAGCGGGCCTCGCACGGCTCGGGCAGGAAGCGGCTCGACTCCGACGAGCTGTCTGGGGCACGCGGGCAGTCTGTGCTCTCGGCGGATCTGGCTGGCGCGGGGAAGGACAGGGTCTGAGCCAGTCCAGCTCGTCCTCCTCCTCCTCCTCCTCCTCCTCCTCCTCCTCCTCCTCCTCCTCCTCCTCCTCCCCCTCCTCCCTCGGGGAGAGTCGTCCTGTGAAGTGGTGCGGCGAGGGTCGTGCAGATCATCGCTCTCTTCCTTTTGCATCCTCCAGTGCTGATGCTCCTTTTCCGAGTGCGTGCGTTACCCAGCACTGTTTCCCGATTTGACCCACGCCAGTGTGACAGGCTGGCTGGTCGGAGGGTGCAATGCTCTCCTGATGATGTTGAAGGTACTCTACATTTTCCTCATCTTTGGAACCCACTTCGGATCTTTTTCATGTTTTCCTGGCGATCTGCAATGTACGCTCATTGTTCATTCGTGTGGCATTTGCGTACAGCCACATTGCAACGGCGGGTGCCAGTGGGCATTACCCTCCGCCGCTAATACCTATACTATGATCTCAAGTTGCAGTGCATTCTGCATGGAATCCATGGACCTGCGAGGTCTCACAGGCACGTTGAAGCAATGGGAAGCTACAGAGGCCGAACCAATGCTCCAGCTACCTGTACTCTGCTACGCTCACAGGAGGGGTTGGAGGAGGAGGCGGAGGAGGAGGAGGGGGAGGAGGAGGAAGGGGAGGAGGAGGGTCGCCAAGGTCGCTATAGGCGTAAGGGGTACCTAAACCCATCTTAGGGATGAGGCGGTCATCGGCGAAATACTGGAAACTGGGGCAACTTAGGGGAAACCCGAGATGCCAGAACCCAGTAGTTGGACGACAACGGGCCACAGCCTTACAACAAAAATAGCCTGGCGAAGGACCCAACCATATGAAGTTGTGAATACCGCAATTGTGAATACCATCTTCGCCCGCGCTCCCTATGTGGCCACGGCTTCCTACCGGAGCCCGACATGCTCAGGGACACGTTCGTGGCCGTCTTCGCGGGCGCCGACGACGACAAGGACGGCGTCCCTCTCACCGAGGAGCAGAAGCAGGAAAGGGCCTTGAGAGCCATGAGGGAGGACGTGGCGTTGCACGTCGACCAGGCGGAGTACGACGCCCAGGCGCGGTTGTTGAAGCAGCACAACTATGGGGCCACGATCCTCGTGAGGGATGTGCCGCAGTGGCCCGGGGCCGCCATGCGAACCCTGCCACTGGCGCCTTCGGTGGAGCTCCCTATGGGGCCACGAACCTCGTGAGGGGTGTGCCGAAATGGCCCGAGGCCGCCATGCGAACGCTGCCGCTGGGGCCTTCGGTGGAGCTCCCTATGGGGCCACGATCCTCGTGAGGGGTGTGCCGAAATTGCCCGAGGCCGCCGTGCGAACGCTGCCGCTGGGGCCTTCGGTGGAGCTCCCTATGGGGCCATGATCCTCGTGAGGGGTGTGCCGAAACGGCCCGAGGCCGCCGTGCGAACGCTGCCGCTGGGGCCTTCGGTGGAGCTCCCTATGGGGCCACGATCCTCGTGAGGGGTGTGCCGAAATGGCCCGAGGCCGCCGTGCGAACGCTGCCACTGGGGCCTTCGGTGGAGCTCCCTATGGGGCCACGATCCTCGTGAGGGGTGCGCCGAAATGGCCCGAGCCGCCATGCGAACGCTGCCGCTGGGGCCTTCGGTGGAGCTCCCTATGGGGCCACGATCCTCGTGAGGGGCGTGCCGAAATTGCCCGAGGCCGCCATGCGAACGCTGCCACTGGGGCCTTCAGTGGAGCACCCTATAGGGCCATGATCCTCGGGAGGGGTGTGCCGAAATGGCCCGAGGCCGCCATGCGAACGCTGCCACTGGGGCCTTCGGTGGAGCTCCCTATGGGGCCACGATCCTTGTGAAGGGTGTGCCGAAACGGCCCGAGGCCGCCATGCGAACGCTGCCACTGGGGCCTTCGGTGGAGCTCCCTATGGGGCCACGATCCTCGTGAGGGGTGTGCCGAAATCGCCCGAGGCCGCCATGCGAACGCTGCCACTGGGGCCTTCGGTGGAGCTCCCTATGGGGCCACGATCCTCGTGAGGGGTGCGCCGAAATTGCCCGAGGCCGCCATGCGAACGCTGCCACTGGGGCCTTCGGTGGAGCTTCCTATGGGGCCACGATCCTCGTGAGGGGTATGCCGACATGGCCCGAGGCCACCATGCGAACGCTGCCACTGGGGCCTTCGGTGGAGCTCCCTTTGGGGCCACGAAGCGCTGTACAGGGTGGGTGAAACGCAGGGAGGAGGGGGGAGGAGGGGGCAGAGGAGAGGAGAGGAGGGACGCGGGGCGACGTCTCTTCAAAACGAGGACCCAACACCACAGGATGGTTGGGAATGAGAGAGAGAGAGAGAGAGAGAGAGAGAGAGAGAGAGAGAGAGAGAGAGAGAAAGAGAGAGAGAGAGAGAGAGAAAGAGAGAGAGAGAGAGAAAGAGAGAGAGAGAGACGCTGAGTGCAACAACGGACATGAGCACGAAAAACAGCCTCAGATGGCATCGCAATGCCGCGTGACGGTCGCGTGCCAGGCTGTGATGGACTGCGCTGAATCTTGCCAGAGATGCGCAAGGGCCTCCTCGCCCCCAGCTGCCCGGACAGCGTGCGCATGAATCTCACAGCTCCATGTCTTTGTCGGTCTGCCCCTCTTCATCCTGAACATGGACAGCGCCAGCTCGTGTGAGAAAGGTCGGAACACCGTTTGTCTCACGGGGTCGTCGCATGGCTTCCGGGCAACGTGCCCCAGGAAAAGCAGTTGGCGGCGAAGTTGAGCGTTGCTCAGCGGCTTGGGTCCAGCGCGCTCTAGGACCCGCTCATTGGATATTCTACTTATGTAAGAGTGTGGAATACGAAAATTTTCTGGAGGCACCTGGCTTGGAAGGCGCCCAATCTGCGAAGCTCTTGTTTGCCCAGAAAAGACGTGTGAAGACAATACAGCAGCTTGCTCACCACGCAAGCGTCGAAGATCCGCAGTTGTCTCGCATTGTCCAGCGTCGAGTGAGACCACACCTTTGCCAGAGTCTCAAACTCGGCCCTGGCAGCGCCCAGTCGGCGCGACAGCTCCGTGCCGACTAGCTCCGTGCCGACTGTCCCATCGCTGGCAATCAAGCTCCCGAGGTAAATAATGCTGGCCTTCTGCGAAATTGCATTCCCGACCGGCTGTAGGATGCGCGCGTTGCACCCCGCCGACAGAACTTCCAATTTTCGCCAGTTGAATTGGAGGCCATATTGCTGTCCAGCCCGCTGCACGCAATGTATATACTCGGAGGCCTCCTCGCCCGTGGTGGCCGCGAGCAGCGTGTCGTCGGCGTACACCAGCTCGTGCACCTGCTGCATCAGGTCCAGGTTGGGCGTCGCCTCCCGCTTTGCGTCGTGCAGCAGAGCAGTCATTACAATAGCAAACAGGAACGGGGATAGAGGGCATCCCTGGCTGATTCCAAAATTCTGCGGATAAGCGTTGGACACCGACCCCGCGTCCCGAACCTCGACTGTCCGGTCCGTGTAGATGGCTCGTACAAAACTGATGAATTTTTGCGGGATGCCGAATCTCTGCAGGGCCCGGCACAGTGCATCCGGCGAAACGCTATCGAATGCTTTAGCCCAGTCAAGGGCGAGGAGCACCAGGCGCCCGTCTTTTTCTGCCCACGTCTTTTCCAGCAGACGCCGAACCAAGAAAATCGCATCAGCCGTGCCGTGCTTGCTCTTGAACCCAAACTGGGTACTCCATACCCTTTGTTCTGCGCCTCCGCTCTTGACTCTGTTGAGAAGAATTGCAGCGAATAATTTGTATCCCACAGAGACCAGTGAAATCGGCCGTTAATTCTCGCACTGTGAATCGTCTCCCTTTTTGAAGAGCGCTCACGACCGCCTCGTGCCACCCATCTGGGACGACATGGCCGGACGAACACTTGTTGCAGAGTGCAGTCGCCCACTGGCAAGCTTCAGACCCAGGCCTGCAAATTGCTTTTCAAATCTCCCCTGGGATCTCGTCCTTACCAGCAGCTCTGCCCAGCAGTAGTTTGGAAGCAGCCCGGACGACCTCCTCCTCCGACACGGGCGCGCACGATATTGGGAGCTCGGCGCCGAGGGGGTCGTCGGTCCCAGCTGCGTCAGTGGGCCGCACGGCTGAGATATTGCGCCAGAGTGTCCGCTCGGCAATCGGAGTCTACGAGCTCCCCGGCCGCGTTCCGAAGCCGGCCCTGCTTCGGGCGACGCCTTTTCGGAGCTTCCGCACGTGCGACCAGTCTCCCGTCGCGAGTTGTTCTTCCAGCCACTTCGATCGGTCCTGCTTCACGGATGCCCGCGCCGATCTGTTCAAATCTCTTTCTTTCCTCACGTCGCAACTTGAACGTGCTGGGTTGCGATGGCGCAGGAACTCCAGCGCGCCTTCCGAAATCCACGGCTTCTTCGGGCGCAGCGGAACCTCCGGGAGAGTCTCGTCAGCTGCTGCGTGCAGAGCTCCGATCATCTTCTCGTTCAGCTCTTGGGCGGTCTCTGGGCACTCGCCGATGGGCCCCATGTGAGCGCAGAACGCAGCGGTGAAGGTGTGCTCCACGCCCGGCTCCTGGAGGGCAGCGACATCTTTTCTCTTCCGGCCCTCATTGGGCTCTGTCTTCGGGACCTCCATCGTGAGCGATGGCCGAAATCTAATGCCAGTGGCCGTAGTGGAGCTAGTCTAGTCTATGGGGGTGGTGCCATTGGCAGTGGTGTAGCGGGTCCACGGGGAGGATGTGTATCCAAATACCCCAATCTGAGGTTTCTTCCATGGCGTGAAAAGCTCTGGGGTTTACAGTCACCCGTAGGCTTTTGTTTGAGATGGGCATTCCAGAGTGCCGACCAGACAACCTTGCTTCGCGCTCCTGCGGGTGACCTGGTTTAAGGAGTCCTTACTCTCACGCCCCTTCCCCCCCCCGTGGCTCTGACGCTTCCTGTCACGCGCAGATGCCAGGGTCGTCACAACGCGTTCGGCCATGCCTCGTGAGAGGGTGGCATTGTAAAGTCGGCGTTTTGGTTCGGGGCCCGAATTCGCCGAGATGGTAAGGAGGGGACTCGTGTTCTACTGCGGGACAAACAACTGCGCCAGAGTGGGGAGGGGGAGCCCCAGCACCCTGCCTCAGATCGGCCAGTGGGCTGGGACGAAACTCAATTGAAGCAGGGCTGGACCTAGACGTTGTTTTTCGTTTTGTTTTCGTTTTGTTGTGCGTTTTGTTCTTAGCTGTTTTCCTGTACCTCCCAGCCACAACGAGACACAAAACACAGCCGAAGTCCAGCAAAACAGTGTTTAGGTCCAGCCCTGAGTTGTAGTGCCACTTCCGTGCCCCAGGGGGCGTCCCAAACACCCATTTCCAGCGTCACGGAGCCGGTGTGGCGCACCAGCTCAGTGACATTTGTGCGGGTCCTTTGGCCTGTGATTTGCGCGTGCCACTGCCTCGGCCGAGTAACGACATGGTGAACGAACCGTGCCCTCTGGGGAGACCTGGGATCGAAAAGGATAGCAGGGGACGCCGTGGAGAGGGAAAGAGGAGGAAAGATAGGAAGGGAAAGTGGGAAGGAAGGGGGGGCACAGCCGCTTGTGCGAGTATGGCGGGTGCTGCCGTGCTGGGGCAACGGCAAGATAGCACCGCAAGTGCGATCGTGGACAGGGAGGTGCAGC